AGCTCGACGGCACGGGGGTCGTCCGCGCGGTCGGGAGGAGGCTGTCGCCAGGCGGAGATCCGGCGGCCCAGGGCTTGGCCCTCGACCTGCTGGACGCCCTCGCCTCGAATTGCGAGGCGGTGCTCCCCCTGGTGGCGTCGGAATTGGAGGAGATGGCGGAGCTAATTGAGGATCCAAGAACGGAGCAGGGGGTTAGAGTGAGAGCGATGCAGCTGATTAGGGCCTGGGGCGTGTCCGAGGAGCTCGAGCACTTGCCGGTTTTTCGTCAGACGTACATGGTCGCCCATCTCTCTCTCTCTCTTTCTCTCTCAGTTTTTATCAATCTATTATGAATTATTATTGATTCAAGTGGCAGAGCTTTAATAAGTGAATTATTGATTCCCCTCCTTGGTGAGTCGAACTCGTGACCTATCGGGGAAGCGCCATACCACTAACCTGAGCTTCGTCGTCTCCTACCAAACCAAGTTAACCAAGTTTTGCATATAGAAAAACTAACCAAATAGCTGATTGTGCTTATTACAAACACATTCTTAGAATTCTACCACCACCAATAATGCTAAGGAGCCAATTGTTGGCTTCGTTGCGGAGCCAACAGCCAATGGGACAGTTCCATGTGGGACTGTCACACATGGCTCCAATGTGGGACAGCTTCACATGGAGCTGTCCCATTGGTTGTTGGTTCCCTAGCATTACTACTACCACCATATATGTACATTTGTTTTCCAAAATAAGCTTAAGCTTTCCGGAATAAGCAGTTATTTCTTGATATGTGTTCTCTTGTTTCTTGAATTTGTGATGTCATAAAGAGAATTTGTCTTTCTTTTTTTTTTTTTCTTTTCTTCATGCAGGATTTGAGGTCGAGAGAAATTCAACAAGCCGCACGAGAAGAAGATTCGTTTCCTCCCACATTGTACAACCTGGAGTCTTATCTCGGCCAACGCCACCCGTCACCTCCCAGGACACGCCCCGTCGCCAGCACCCGTGTGGAAGACGACGGAGGAGACGCCTCTCTACTTGGTTACGATTTCGAGTCTGTTGAGGAGAAAATGGAGCTTCTTGCTGAGGCTCGGAACACCCTTGATATCCTCTCCACCATCTTGAATTCTGATTCTGTGGAGG